TACGCCTTGTCCGATATGTATTTCTAATCAGTGGATGAGATCCGAAAATGGCTTGACGACTTTATCGTGTCCAAAGACGTAACATTTTTCGGAGATGGAATTCATCAGCTGCCTGAAAGATGGCTTAAAGTTATAGAAAACAACGGCGAATACTTTGATTGAACAATTTAATTTACTTTCTTTTAAAATAAACCTTGAATGTATTAGGTTGTTCGGAAAGTTCGTTTCAAATTTTTGAAATAAATTAAGAGCGCAATATTTTACACAAAGAGGAACTTTATTGAAGCAAATATGTACCGTTTTGTTCAACGACCTTGGCCCATCTTTCAGGAAGCTGCATGATGCCTTTGCTCCAAAATAAAGATTTCTTATTGGCGAAGAATTTATCAAGATGACTTTTGAGGACTCTCAAAGACTCGAATTTCTTGTCCCGAAGAATATTTTTTAAAGAAAGAAATAGATAGTAGTCAGATGGGGCAAGGTCGGGAGAATATGGAGGATGAGGAAGAACGTCCCATTCGAAGTCTAACAGCTTCCTACGGATAGACATTGCGACGTGAAGTCTGGCTAGAAGTTATCATGATGGAAAACAATTCCACGCCTATTGGCCAATTCAGGGCGCTTCCGTGCTTCCGGCAGTCTTCAGTTCGTCCAGTTGAAGGCTATACTTCGCCGCGTTGATGGTTTCGTTTGGTTGAAGAGGCTCATAATATACCACGCCCTTAAAATTCCACCAGATACTCAGAAGAATCTTTTTCGCGTGAAGCCCCGGCTTGGCCACTGTTTGCGTAGACGCGCCGCTGGTTCCCCACGACCTCTTGCGGCTAATATAATTGTATAGGATCCAACTTTCATCGCCTGTTATGATCCTCTTCAAGAACAGTTCTTTTTGGTGCCGTTGAAGCAGCATATCGCAGACGTTCACACGTTCCAGCAACTGCCGTTCATTCATTTCGTGTGGCACCCACACATCCAGTCGACTTGAGAATCCTAGCTTCTTCAGATGGTCATGCACGGTGGAAACAGACGGTGGAAACAGACTTGTGCAGAGTGTCGGCGAGTTCTCTAACTGTCACTCGAGGATTTTCGTGCACGAGATCCATAAGAAGCGTTTCATCAACCTCCTGAGGCCGGCCTGAGCGAGCTTGATCTTCCAAGTTGAAATTGCCAGCTTCGAATCTTCGATACCATTTTCGAACTATCTGGTGAGTGACGCAGGCATCTCCATATACTGAGAACATCTCATTCAGGGTCTGCGAAGCCGTGAAGCCACGTTTAAAGCAATATAGCATCACATGACGAAAATGGACTTTTTGGTTCTCCATTTTTCAAACTGATTTCTGACGAAATAGTGCACTTAGGAAGATCTGCGAAGTTTCCTTAGCGGGCTCGTAGATCCGGGAATGTTTGTTGGCAAACATAAAATCGTTTAGAGCGCCCTCGTTCTTACTGATTACATAGAAATGTGGAGCGCACGAAATTTGAAACGAACTTTCCGAACAACCTAATAGATGAAAAATTGGATTATTCATTTGTACACCTAATACTAGACTTTTTTGTTCTATTTGGTTTCAAGAATATATTGTTACAATTGCGCCCTAACTTTTGTTAATTTGACAATTTTAAAATTTCCAATGGTTGATGGCCGCCTAATTCGATGTCTTGAGAGAGGCAAGCTTTGTTGAGAGAAGACGGAGTGATCCTCCATCCTCCCCTTCAGTAGTTATTTCTCTCGCGGTGGAGCGTAGGCGAACCCTGGGCGGGCAGGTGCGTCTCCAGTTTCTCAGGGATGCTGTAGTGTCCGATATCAGTTGAGGATTGCCGAAGTATAGGGAGTTGGCCCGACCCGCATCGCACCAGACCGTCCCGTGCCGGTCCCCGATTACGCTGGTCCGCCCCCGGCAGCCAGTAGAGTCGTCCTCCCTGTTTACGCCGAAAAGGTCGGCGGGCACGTTCTGTGACCTTCTTCCGGGACATAACGTCCCTGCAGAAGGAGGTCGCTGCTTTTTGTCCTTGCCTAGCATGGCCCTGAAAACAGCTGACAGGGAGAGGTATGAAACGCGGCGTGTGCATGAGCCGGCGGTGTGCGTGTTCCATCGCGGAACTTTGTTGTTGTCCAAACGGTTGGCGAGTTCGAGATCCAACCCATTTTGCGAGCGGTATTGTTATCGAAGTCCGTCGTACGGAATAATCCGACCCTAACTCGTCTTTTGTAAAATAGACAATATATTTCATTGTTCACCACAATCAGCCGATAAAGTGTGTCGTCGACAAGGAGAAAATTATTCCACGAACCCGCCCATCTCCGACTTAAATCACCGGGAGCTAGACGTTCCCGCACGAAGCAGGAATCGGGAGTCGCGATCCGACTATTATTAATTTCGGCGGAATGATTAGAAGAGAATCGGTGGTAAGGCCGTTTCCGTACCTGGCGCCCAACACTTGGAAAGATTTCGCCATTTCGTGGATTTGATCGGATCGGGCTCGCGGCCTTTCGCTACCGGCGCAATTCTTCAACGTCTATTTGAAAATAACGTCGCAAATTATTGTGTCACACGTCGGGAATTATTAGCTGTAGATTCAGTCAAGTTCTTTCATCATTATTTGTATAGCAGAAAATCCATTGTCCGAACGGATCATATTTCTTTAAAATGGTTAATGTTACTTAAGGATCTTGAAAGGCAATTAGTTCGTTGGTTGGAAAAGCTTCAATAATATGATTTCGAGATTTGGTGTCGGAAAGATGGTTCTTATCGGAACGCTGATGGACTCTCGTGTCGACTATGTGAATTGCTTTCTTGTTATTACTGTGAGAAAGTCGAACACAAAGAATTAGAAAATAATGCTGGAACGGTCGGTCGAATGAGTGAGTCCCAGATGCGCACAGAATAAAACGGACATAGCAGGTTGAATGAAACAGACACAGTGACAAACGGACACAGTAAGAAAAGGACACAGTAAGAAACGGACACAGTGACAACCGGACACAGTAACAAACGGACACAATAGGAAACGGACACATGGTGGTTGCAATCGGACACAGTGACAATCGGACACAGTAGGAAACGGACACACGGTGGTTGCAATCGGACACAGTGAGAAACGGACACAGTAAGAAACGGACAAAGTGAGAATCGGACACAGTAAAAAATGGACACAGTATCAAACGGACACAGTAGGAAACGGACACAATAGGAAACGGGGTGCGAAAAAAGTGAAGAAAAAGTAAAATCTGATCATACGTGCATTATTTATGTGTATTATTGCTGAATCGACTCATCTTTTCATACTGTGCGGTCACTTCTGCAGTTGTGCAGATTGTTCTAGTTAAATCATGCAAGATAGTGATAATGTTAAAACTTGTTCAATTTGCAAAGCACAAATTTCATCGGTGTACAAAAAATATATGCCATAAACATGTCTTACTTTTATTTGAATACCAGGTATGTCGGTAACTACTTTCCGGTTTTTGTAACAGATGTCACTAGCCATAAGTATGCAATGTTATGATTTGATACATATGTCATTTTATTCTACTGACATTAACCTCAAAACTACACAAGTTACGTTCCGCCAAAATAACAGCGTTATAGATTAATAATTTTTTGAAAATGTCGAGTTTTGTGCCTGAAAACGTGCATTTGCGGGATGCATTACTTTTCTTGTTTAATCAAAAGAAAAAAGCCGCTGAAAGTCATCGTTTGCTGGTAGAGACTTACGGTGAGCATGCTCCAACCATAACAACATGTGAAACGTGGTTTCGACAATTCAAATGTGATTTCAACGTTCAAGACAAAAAACGTCCTAGTAGGCCGAAAACGTTTGAAGATGCGGAATTGCAGGAGTTATTGGATGAAGACCCAACACAAACTCAAAAACAATTGGCAGAAAAGTTGAATGTGAGCCGAGTAGCAATTTGTGAACGATTACAAGCGATGAGAAAGATCCAAAAGATGGGAAGATGGGTGCCACATGAATTGAATGACAGGCAATTGGAAAATCGAAAAATCGTCAGTGAAATACTGCTTCAAAGGTATGAAAGGAAGTCATTTCTGCATCGAATAGTAACGGATGATGAAAAGTGGATTTATTTCGAAAATCCCAAGCGAAAAAAATCATGGTTATCACCTGGCGAAGGCGGCCCATCGACTGCAAGGCCAAATCGCTTTGGTCGCAAAACCATGCTCTGTGTCTGGTGGGACCAGGTTGGTGTCGTAAATTATGAACTGTTGAAACATGGAGAAACAGTTAATACTGATCGCTACCAACAAATGATCAATTTGAACTGTGCATTGATCGAAAAACGTCCACAATACGTTCAAAGACATGATAAGGTAATTTTGCAGCATGACAACGCGCCATCTCATACAGCAAAACCAGTCAAAAAAGTGTTGAAATCACTTGGATGGGAAGTTTTATCGCACCCGCCGTACTCTCCAGACCTGGCTCCATCCGACTACCACCTTTTCGCATCGATGGGGCACGCGCTTGCAGAGCAGTACTTCGCCGATTTCGAAGAAGTTAAAAAATGGCTCAATGAATGGTTTAACTCAAAGGAGAAACAGTTCTTTTGGAATGGCATCCATAAATTGCCTGAGAGATGGGCAAAATGTATAGAATCAAATGGCCAATACTTTGAATAAATATATTTTAACTATCCATTGTAAATAACGTGTTTTCTTTAGCGAAAAAACCGGAAAGGGATTACCGACACACCTGGTAAAAACATTTAGAATTGTCAGCATCTTTTTTAATACATATTCTTTATGACGTTTATCGCACACATTCTAAGACAGTAGATTTGTTGCCAATATAACAGTATTATATATGTTAAGCATTACGTACTGAAATGTGTTGTAGACTAAGGCTGTATGCAAAATTAGGTTGAAAGTATTTACTGCCAATTTCTCACAATACTTTAAGGTGAATTATATAAAAATTACTTATATGCTAATATTCAAAGTTATTTTCTTTAATAATATGTATTATAAACATTTCCGAAACAATATGTGTTACATAATTATATAACAATTATATAATAAGCCAACAAAAGAACAGTAGGAAGCACGCATACTAAAATATAACGTATATCTTAAAATATATACGGTTATTTTTATCTGCAACGACTGCAAGGTTTACGTGCTTTCCGTTTTCGTGTAATCTGGAACATTATGTAAATGTTTCAATGTGTAAATATTATATCTGTCGATAATGAGTAACGTTTCAATGTATACTTACTTTTGATGGAATAATGTTTTCAATAAACGTTAATGGTTGCTGACTATTCTTAATATATTTTTCGCAGTCTCGACGTGTGAGCTTTATTAGAGTAATCTTAGGTTCTAATAGATTTATTGGGATATATTTGGGATCTATAGTAACTTGTATTTTTTCTTCACAATTTTTTCCAGTATGTCTATCAAAGATATATTTGGAATATTTTCGTTTCCTGAAGCGTGATAAGGCAAGTTAATAAGAATGTAAGTCAGACATACATAATACAGTTAATACTAACTTTGCATATTTATATGTTGTTCATAACAAACAGTTTCAGGTAGTCCAACAAATAATTCCTCTTAATAATTTTTGTCATTTTCATTTTGCAAAGATATGTCTAATACATTTTCCTTCTCTAGAGCATGATAAAGATAATTATCTTTTTAAAAAATAATTGTTAGTAAAATATAAAAATTATTGTTAATACTAACCTTGCATATTTACGTGTTCTTGATGTAGAATGTTTTTAGATATTCCGATAAATATTCGCAAAAATTGTTCAATGGGTAACCTAGAAAAATATTTTAATATAACGTTATATATATATATATATGTATATATATATATATATTGGGTGAGTGCAAAAGTTCGTGCGGAGTTTGTGAGTAAAAGTCACACAGTGATTAGGCAAACAAAAATCTTTATTCAATCAATGATATATTCTCCATCGTTTTCTATAATCTTTTCCCAACGTTCTGGCAGCATACGGATGCCTCGATCATAAAAACTGCGCGGTTTAGATTCGAAGAACGAAGAGACGCCGTTTTTTAAGGCCTCCAAAGAGTCAAAGTTTTTTCCATTTAAATAATTTTGCAATGACCGGAACAAGTGATAGTCAGATGGTGCGATATCAGGAGAATACGGTGGATGCGTTAAGACATCGCATTTCAGGCTCTTCAGTTTGCGCAGCGTCTTTTTCGAAACGTGTGGTCTGGCGTTGTCGTGATGAAAGACGACTCCCTTGCGATTTGACAAAATCGGACGTTTCTCTTTTATTTCTCGATTCAGATTGGTTAATTGGCGACAGTACTTGTCCGAATCAATCGTTTCGCCAGCGGGGAGAAGCTCGAAATAGATTATGCCCTTGCAATCCCACCAAACAGAGAGCATCACCTTCATCGGGTGCAAACTGGCCTTTGGCATTGCGTCACCATGCTCACCTGATTGTTTCCATGTCCGTTTGCGCTGAACATTGTTGTAGAGGACCCATTTCTCATCGCCCGTCACTAGTCGATCCAAAAACGACTCGTTATTGAGCCGCCCGAGTAAAGAAACGGCTGCAGAAATTCGCTTGATTTTGTTCTTCTCGGTCAGCAAATGGGGCACCCATATATCGAGCTTCAAATCGAATCCCATCTTTTTTAAACGCCGAAAAGCGGTTGATCGGTCAACGTTTAGTGCTGTAGCAACTTCTTCTGTTGAAATTCGCGGATTATTGAGCACTAAAGTACGCAAAACATCGTCATCAATGTCAGAAGGTCGACCAGAGCGTGGCTCGTCTTCAAGGTTAAATTCTCCGCGCCGAAATTTAGCAAACCATTTTTCCACAGTTCGTTTAGCTGGTGCTTCATCCTGATAAACATCCTGAATGTTTTTTACGGCTGCGGCAACGTTTATTCCCTTCCGAAACTCGTAAAGCATAACATGCCGTAAATGCACCTTATCGATACTGATTTTTAAAGTGATATTTCTCGAAGCAGTTTGTATGAAAACAAATGATTTTTTTTTTAATAACAGCTGAAGACGTCACCTTTCCAACGTTATATAATATGTAGATGGAAGTATTAATGACAACACTTTACGACGCTTATCCCTAACTCCATCTATTGAAACTCCGCACGAACTTTTGCACTCACCCAATACATGTGTGTGTGCTTGTGTGTTCAACTAATGTTAGAGAATTCTTTTTTGACGGGACCTAATATTCATCTTATACAGGATGCTAAATTTCAAACGTAACAGACAAAAAATTTTGAAAACTATGAAAGATATTAAAAAAACTAAAACACGTTTTCCATGATTTCGAAAGGGAAAGAGAATGGCATTATCAGTTTTTTATTTGGAGGGCATTTTCAAGGTCAGTTGAAGGTCAACTTAATTTTTTAAAATAGAAAGTCCAATTTTTTATTATACCTTCTTTTTATACCAATTAATTTTAACAACTTTTGTCTGAAACATTTCTTTATTTGCCTAATATTTTTTTAAATATTTGAGGAAAACTTTTTGAGGTAACTTTTTCAACATTTAACTTACGATATCTCGTTAACTATTCGTTGAAAGAAAAAATAGTATTAAACCTTTTTACTTCATTTACTATCAAAAATATAATACTATAATAGTGCTCTAACTTTTGTTAACTTATCGACCTTTGGAAATTTCAAATTATTAAATTAATTCATATCCATTTTCCGTGTGCCGTCGGCGAATGTCGCGTCCGCGAGTACCACTTGTCGCGAAACACCTTACGTCCGCCGGTCTAAAGCGAAGATTTCCGTCGATCGGGCGTCCAGTCTGACGCTTCACAAGACCTCTGTCCGCGTCTTACAAGCAGAACAAGGTGCTTCAAGATTTCCGTACGACCAAAAATGTTCGCCGCCGGGTACGGCTGTTGTTGTACATAAGAATAAATTCAGTTTAAGCTTAATCTTACTCGGTCGGCTTCTGTGTCCTCCTGCACTTATAGCGATTAAAGATCGCGTACTTGCGCCCTCCGCGCACAGCGCTGTGCGGTACCGCGCCATCGCTGTCGGCGGAACCCGACGGGAACAGTAGAAGATGGAAGTTATGGTCATCAAGCGATAAACATGTATTACAGATTGTTGTTTCTCAAAAGGAGATTAAGAATATAATGGGAGGGGTTCATGATTTTGTTTCAAGAGGACATTTCGGTGTGAATAAGACGTTAGATAGAATTCGTCAAGGTTTTTATTGGGCCATTTGTAAGAAAGATGTAGAGGATTGGTGCAGAACTTGTAAAATTTGTGTTGAAAGGGTAGATCCTTCTGATAAAGGGAAATCTCCTCTGCAAATTTACAATGTTGGTGCCGAGTTTGATAGATTGCAAATGGATATATTAGGTCCTTTTCCTAATAGTTCTTCGGGGAATAAGTATCTTCTAGTCATAGTTGATTGTTTTTCAAAGTGGATGGAGGCTTTCCTACTAAAGAATATTAGAGCTTCTTCGGTGGCTGAAGTTTTCGTCAGTCAAGTAGTTTCTCATCATGGGGTTCCCTTGGAAATTCATACTGACCAACTAAAGCTTTTGAATCAAAGCTTTTCCAGAAACTTACTCAATTGTTGGGAATGAAGAAAACAAGAACAATCGCTTTGCATCCGCAATCAGACGGTCAAGTGGAACGACAACACAAGACGATTCTGGATTATTTGGCAAAATTTATCTCTGATCATCAGAAGGATTGGGATCATTGGATCCCAATATATCTTTTAGCCTATCGTTCTTCAAAACATGAAACTATGGGATTTACTTCGGCAGAACTTTACTTTGCTTGAAATTTTCGTATTTCTCTTGATCTTTTACGAGGGACTTTCTCCTAATGAGGAGCAGTTTTTATCAGAGGAATCCTATGTTTTTAAATTAAGAAAAAAATTAGATTCGATTCATGAAACGGCTCATAATTCTTTGTTTATTAAATCTGAGAAGGTGAAATCTTCATACGATAAGAAAGCAAGGGATATTGTTTTTTCAATCGGATAGAAAGTTTGATTACTCAATCCTCGTCGTGTAAAGGGAAAGGCTCCTAAACTTCTGAGAAGTTGGGAAGGTCCTTATAAAATTATTAAAAGTTGAGTGATGTAGTTTATTGCATTCAAATATCTCCAAAGCATGGAAAAAAATCATTCTTGCAGATAAATTGGCGTCTTTTCGAGATAGAGAATTACGGAGTTGATTTTAGAAAAATTTACATCCGAACTCATAAATATAAATTTATTTTTGGAAAAAGTACGCACTTTTCTTTCGTTTTTTAGTGAAGGATATCGCTGTTGGACGAATTAGATTGGAAGGGATTAGATGGAGTGATTTAAGAAGACCTAACGATGAACGATTTTTTTTTAAGAAGACCATTTCGCTCGCGGCTTTTGACCGTGGTTTTCCCGTGAGCTAGGCGGTGTATCCCATGTCGAGGTGGGGATCTTTTAGAGAACGTTGGGTCTACGGGTGCTACCCCCCCCCCTTGTTCGAAGATTTGATTCAGCGGAAAGTGAGGACAAGGAAATGACGTCAACCCTTCGATCCTCGAGAAAATGGCTGTTGGAACATAGAAGAACGATGTCCATAGAGCCTGAGGCAGCAGCCAATACTAGGACAAGAAGACGTCTTGGGGTATCCTGAAGCGGCATTTTGGACATCGGAATGACTTCCCGTCTTCTCCTTAAATTGTCGGGATGACAATTGCAATTATAGAGCGGGGAACAGTGTTGCGGCCACGCTTTTGCGGAGCAATGTGGTGCTCACACTGCTAGAACCAAGATCGGCTCGTTTGGAATAAGCAAACAGAGTGTCCCTGGCAACGAAATAACAGCTGACGGGAGTCTCCAGCAAGCTGTCATCGTAAACAGACGCGAGAATTGCCGATTAGAGAGATATTTCTGTAGAAGCTCAAGAGAGCTACGCTGTAAAAAATAAAACTTCTTATTCTTACGTTAGTGTTCTTATTTTCCTGAGTGCGTGGCGTGACTATAAAAGTTAGCGCAACAATATATATTGTTGGTCAAAAAAGTTCATTGTGGGCACAGGAAATAAAACATCCATGGAATGTAAATGGTTGGTATAAGATTATTAGTGACATTGATGATATCTTCATACTGTCCCAAGGTAGGTAGGAGAAAAGGACTGTTCTTTTCATCGAAATAGAAATGCGTTACATCGTCTAATACAGTCACACTTTCAGATTGCAAATAGCTTTCTAAATCCTAATTGGTGATGTTCATACCGGGGTAGGTTCCAAGATGAAATCAGGGCCTCACCTTGGACAGCCAACTTGAACAGGCAACTTGTTAGTGCTTCGATCGCCTGGTCTTTCAAGTGGCGATCACGTTCCTTTGGCTCTTTTCAAACTTCAGAGAGTCTGGGATTAGTATTTGCTATATTTACATCGGGATCGTTAATTACTTAGCTCTGTATGAAGTTTCAATGTAGGCGAGCACTTTACTAGCCGTGTCGTATACGATAACTGCGCAAAATGACGTGTGCAATGACCATCAAACTAACTCAGAAGTATTGACTAATATAAGACTATTTCCTGTGTGGTGGCGACATTTTTGGCAGGAATCTTCCTTTTCAACCTCCTGGTGAGTATGTAGACGGAGGTTATTTTACTGATGTAGGCTTTCTAACAGGATGAGGGACTGGCTCTAATCATCAAACCGGTCAAGGAATTAAGATGTCATTTTATGCTGCTTAGATGGTAATGGTAGGTGGTCTGGCCAATATGTGACTGACCAGCAAATCATCAGTGCTATCCGACCATGCTTCAAAATGTGGCTGG